CCGAGCTGTGACCTCATCGAATATTCTCCTAGCGGCTGACATGACTGCTAAGGTGAGCTGCTGCTCCAGGTGCCTCAACACTCAGGAGGACAGGACCTCACCCCCCCGCTGGTGCACAAAGCAGTTACCTCCTCCAACGTCCTGCTGGCGGCTGATATGACTACCAAGGTGAGTTGCATGCTGCATGGCACACATCTTACTTACCACAGCCAAGTGAGGTATCAGCCTCTTGCTACAAGGAGTGCACTGGAGCATCTGCATCACGGCCTCACCCCCCCGCTGGTGCACCGAGCTGTGACCTCATCGAATATTCTCCTAGCGGCTGACATGACTGCTAAGGTGAGCCGCTGCTCCCAGGTGCCTCAACACTCAGGAGGACACGGCCTCACCCCCCCGCTGGTGCACCGAGCTGTGACCTCATCGAATATTCTCCTAGCGGCTGACATGACTGCTAAGGTGAGCCGCTGCTCCCAGGTGCCTCAACACTCAGGAGGACACGACCTCACCCCCCCGCTGGTGCACCGAGCTGTGACCTCATCGAATATTCTCCTAGCGGCTGACATGACTGCTAAGGTGAGCTGCTGCTCCAGGTGTCTCAACACTCAGGAGGACAGGACCTCACCCCCCCGCTGGTGCACAAAGCAGTTACCTCCTCCAACGTCCTGCTGGCGGCTGATATGACTGCCAAGGTGAGCATTGGTGAACGAGGTGAGTGCGTCAGGTTTGAGGGTGTGCACTGGAGCATCTGCATCACGACCTCACCCCCCCGCTGGTGCACAAAGCAGTGACCTCGTCCAACATCCTGCTAGCGGCTGATATGACTGCCAAGGTGAGACGCTGCCCCTGGTGCCTCATCCCACAAGGCGGTTCCATGTCTCAGCACTCAAGGTAGTGTCGTCAAGAGTACCTGCTACGACCAGGATCTCACCCCCCCGCTGGCACGCAGAGAAGTGACCTCCTCCAACGTCCTTCTGGCAGCTGATATGACTGCCTAGGTGAGCCTCATGCTGCATGCCACATGCAAGGGCCGCAGCGGGGGCAAGAGTGCATTTGATGACGTGCCGCGGAGCAAGAAGAGCCGCAAGCACAAGCAGATGGCTGACGTGCAGTCGCCCTCGAGTGTTTTTTGAGAATTCTCAAAAAACACTCGCTGCAGTCGCCCTCGCCCCACCCCAGATGTGGATTGCGAGCGGTGGAGAGCGGTGGAGTCATGCCCTCGGCCCGTATCTCACTCACCCGCCACCCCTGTCCTTCTCTCCTGCTGTTCTGTGTGCCGTCCTCCTCCCTCCCTCCCTGTCCTCAGCTGAGCGATTTTGGCATAGCCAAGGGCAGCAGTGGCGGAAAGACCGCGTTTGACGACACGCCGCGGCGCAAGAAGAGCCGCAAGCACAAGCAGGTGGCTGACGTGCAGTCGCCCTCGCCACATCACTCCGGATAGAGAGAGGTGGAGCTCGGTGGAGAGCGGTAGAGTGTGGCTGGTCACTCGCTCAACCCCCACCCCTTTCCCTCCATCCTCCTGTGTCCCTGTGCCCCCATTCAGTTAAGTGACTTTGGCATTGCCAAGGGCAGCAGCGGCGGGAAGTCCGCGTTTGACGACACGCCGCGGCGCAAGAAGAGCCGCAAGCACAAGCAGGTGGCTGACGTGCAGTCGCCCTCGCCACAGATGGAGAAGGCGGATGTGTATGGGTTCGGAGTGGTGCTGCTGGAGTTAATTACAGGGCAGAAGGCCATGAAGGAGGTTCACATTACTACCATGGTGAGAGAGTGTGCAGTGCGGTTGACTTGGGTGAAATCCTGGTGCAGAATGGTGGGGTATGGTGGAATGCGGTAGAGTGTGCAGTCGCCCTCGCCACAGATGGAGAAGGCGGATGTGTATGGGTTCGGAGTGGTGCTGCTGGAGTTAATTACAGGGCAGAAGGCCATGAAGGAGGTTCACATTACTACCATGGTGAGAGAGTGTGCAGTGCGGTTGACTTGGGTGAAATCCTGGTGCAGAATGGTGGGGTATGGTGGAATGCGGTAGAGTGTGCAGTCGCCCTCGCCACAGATGGAGAAGGCGGATGTGTATGGGTTCGGAGTGGTGCTGCTGGAACTGATTACGGGCCAGAAGGCGATGAAGGAGGTTTATATCACTACCATGGTGAGAGTCACAGTGCAGTGCGGTTGAATGTGGTATAATCCTGGTAGAAAATGGGCCCCGTTTTGGAAGACCCGCGGATGATGCCTCTCATGGTGGGACCCTATCTGGGGTGTCTGAGCCGCCCTCTCTTCTTTGCAGTGCCTGATCTCCCTCCCTTTCCCCACCACATTTCCCTCTTCTCCCATCAGGCTGCCCCTTTCCTGGAGGGTCCTCAGATGATGCCTCTCATGGTCGACCCCTACCTGGGCGCTCAGTGTTAGTGCTCGGATCAAGGCGCTCACCCCTCCCTCCCTCGATTCCCCGCCTCTCTCCCTTTCCTCCCATCAGGCTGCCCCTTTCCTAGAAGACCCGCAGATGATGCCTCTCATGGTGGACCCCTACCTGGGCGCTCAGTGTCTAGTACTCACTCCTCGCTCCCTCCATTGACACCCCTTCTTCTCCACCCCCCCATCAGGCTGCTCCCTTCCTAGAAGACCCGCAGATGATGCCTCTCATGGTGGACCCCTACCTGGGCGTTCAGTGTGCCTAGTGTGCTCATTGTGTCCCCATCACAATCCCTGCTTCCCCACCACCCACCCAATCAGGCCGCCCCCTTCCTGGAGGATCCTCAGATGATGCCTCTCATGGTCGACCCCTACCTGGGCGCTGAGGGTGTGGAATTCGAGGTCTAATATCATAACGGATTCCCCACCTCATATCCCACTCTTCCCACTCCCCTTTTCCAGGCTGCTCCCTTCTTGGAGGACCTGCAGATGATGCCTCTCATGGTGGATCCCTACCTGGGTGATCAGAGTCTAGTGCTCGGATCAAGGCACTCACCCCTCCCTCTCTCCCTCCCACACCACTCTCCTCCCTCTCCTCTATTCTCCAGGCTGCCCCCTTCTTGGAGGACCCTCAAATGATGCCTCTCATGGTCGATCCCTACCTGGGCGCTCAGTGTCTAGTGCTCGGATAATGGCGCTCATCCCTCCCTCCCTCCCATCACACCTCCTCTTCTCCCTTCCCATCAGGCTGCCCCATTCTTGGAGGACCCGCAGATGATGCCTCTCATGGTCGATCCCTACCTGGGCGGCAACTATCGGCAGGAGGAGCTCATAGAGCTGGGCGGCTTGGCCCGCGACTGCATCCAAGAAAACGCCGCTTGCCGCCCGTCCATGCGCGAGGTTCTCGAGAGAATGGAGGAGAATCTGCCGTCCGTCGGTGTGTGTATCGAAGGGGACGGGATTGGAGGGAAGGCAGGAGGAGACGACGAGGAATCCGGGTTACTTGTGGAGGGGTATTCCGCCGCTGCGCCCACGTTCGGGCAGGGTGTTACGCACCTGCACCCTCCGAATGTGAGGGTGGACGGCGGGGGGCACGAGCATGGATCTGCTGTGATGCGCGAGGAGAGGCAGGTGACGGGGATTTCGGGAATTTCAGCACCGGCATCAGCTTGGGCGTCGATTGAAGGGTTTGCCAAGTCGATCAAGAGCGCGATTGTGAACCCGAGGGGGCACCGGGGGGAGTCGGATCATGAGATGTCGTCGCTGCTGGTGCTGGGTACGAAGACGGGGAGCAGCAGCAGCAGTGGGAGGTGATAGGCTAGCAGCAGCAGCAGTGGGGGTGGTGGGGGCACGAGCATGGATCTGCTGTGATGCGCGAGGAGAGGCAGGTGACGGGGATTTCGGGAATTTCAGCACCGGCATCAGCTTGGGCGTCGATTGAAGGGTTTGCCAAGTCGATCAAGAGCGCGATTGTGAACCCGAGGGGGCACCGGGGGGAGTCGGATCATGAGATGTCGTCGCTGCTGGTGCTGGGTACGAAGACAGGGAGCAGCAGCAGCAGTGGGAGGTGAGCGGCTACCAGCAGCAGCAGTGGGGGTGGTGGGGGCACGAGCATGGATCTGCTGTGATGCGGGAGGAGAGGCAGGCAACGGGGATTTCGGGGATTTCAGCACCGGCGTCGGCTTGGGCGTCAATTGAAGGGTTTGCCAAGTCGATCAAGAGCGCGATTGTGAACCCGAGGGGGCACCGGGGGGAGTCGGACCATGAGATGTCGTCGCTGCTGGTGCTGGGTACGAAGACAGGGAGCAGCAGCAGCAGTGGGCGGTGAGAGGTAGCAGCAGCCGCATTGGGAGTGTTGGAGGAGGTGATAAGTTATCAGGCAGGCAGTCGTGGCGGCCTTCCAAGGCAGCAGCCGAGTGTACATGTCTCCAAGATATAACCGGCTATAATATCTCCTAACAAGATTGTCTAATTTATATACAAGCATAGTAGTGACAATTCTGTTGTCCCTTAATTTGTTTGTTTGTCTTTGTTTATTAGAATGAGCGTGAAGACAAGCTTGCAGTCCTCAATTTTAATGTGTGTTTGTCATAAAATAATTTCAGTTATTATGCTCTAACGGAGTTGGTGGAAGGACAACCAGAGAGCAGATCGAAGACAAAAAATATTCCAGCTGGGATATGAAAATTGCAAAAGTATCCCGCCAACCGGATTCGAACCAGTGAACTAGGGATTGCTCAACTACAGTCCTCCGCTCTACCAACTGAGCTATAGCAGGTTGAATGCTAGAGACACGTGAAGTATTTATTAAAATTAAAGTATAAATGCTACTAACCCTCACGATTACCTCTCGTCTGTAATCATGCGAATTCGGGCAATTCCGCGGGCGCTCTTCCGTTGACGCGCATTCTTCCGCGCAGGCCAACCCCGCGGAGATGGTGGCGGAGGCGGAAGCCCTGGACGGGTCTGGTACCGCCACTTCTCCTATTACCACGAACGGCGCTGGTACTAGCGCCACAAGCACTGCTGCTAGGTCATTATTACTAGATAGTATTGAAAGCACCGTTCCTTTCACACTCCGCGGTGTCGTTTTCGATATGGACGGGACTCTGACCGTGCCGTGCATAGATTTCGCCGAGATGCGCCGGCGCGTGGGCGCCACGAGCCCGGATATTCTGCACGAGATCGACGGTTGGGATGAGCCGAGACGAGTCGAGGCGTATCGTGTGATTGGGGAGATGGAGGCGGAGGCGAAGCGACGGCTGCAGATCATGCCAGGTGGGTGAATGGCGAATCTACGGTTGCAGTTCATGGGTGAATGGCGATTCAACAGCTGCAGATCATGCCAGGTGGCTGAATGGTAAATCTACGGTTGCAGATTATGCCAGGTGGGTGAATGTCGAATCTACGGTTGCATGCCAGGTGTGAATGGCTTATGTACGGTTGCAGATCATGCCAGGTGGGTGGATTTTGAATCGACGGCTGCAGATCATGACAGGTAGGTGGATTGGGCAATATGGGGTAAGAACCCCTGCATTGACCTGTGCCGTGACCCATGAAGTGACCCCTTCATTGACCTGTGCCATGACCCATGAAGTGACCCATGAATTGACTCATGCACTGGCTCATAAGCTGACCATGAATTGACCGACCATGAGTTGATCCACCCATGCGTTGACCATGAGTTGACCCACCCATGCGTTGACCATGAGTTGACCCATGCGTTGACCCATGAGTTGACACATGCGTTGACCATGAATTGACCCAAGTGTTGACCATGAGTTGACCATGAGTTGACCCATGTGTTGACCCATATGATGACCCAGTTGCACTCTCGTTCGCTGACCCGTGCTTTGACTCATCTCAAATGGCTTGAGAGTCAACTCAAAAGCCACCATCCTCCTTGCCTGGTCCTCTCTCCCACTCAGTGCACATCTTTTCTGGACCTCTTTTTGCAACTTCTGGAACCACATATGGAGCAGCATATGTTCAGCAGCACTATTTGAAAAAATTCCAAAACCGCTAACAGTAGTAACCCTCCTACCCTGTGCGTTTCACAGTAACCCTCCTACCCTGTGCGTTTCGCAGTAACCCTCCTACCCTGTGCGTTTCGCAGTAAGCCTCCTACCCTGTGCGTTTCACAGTAACCCTCCTACCCTGTGCGTTTCACAGTAACCCTCCTACCCTGTGCGTTTCGCAGTAACCCTCCTACCCTGTGCGTTTCGCAGTAACCCTCCTACCCTGTGCGTTTCACAGTAGCCCTCCTACCTTGTGCGTTTTGCAGTAACCCTCCTACCCTGTGCGTTTTGCAGTAACCCTCCTACCCTGTGCGTTTCACAGTAACCCTCCTACCCTGTGCGTTTCACAGTAACCCTCCTACCCTGTGCGTTTCACAGTAACCCTCCTACCCTGTGCGTTTCACAGTAACCCTCCTACCCTGTGCGTTTCGCATGTATTTTCAGGGGCCCGCGAGCTCATCGCCTTTCTTGACGCCCGGAACATCAGGCGAGGGCTTATAACGAGGAATGTGAAGGATTCAGTGGACCATTTCCATAGCAGTTTCGAGGTGATTCTCATACACGTTAAGGAATTTCTTGTTACCAGCACTGGGCTTATAACGAAGAATGTGAAGGATTAAGTGGATCATTTCCATAGCAGCTTCGAGGTGAGTTTCGTACCCATTAAGAAAATCTTCGTTACCAGCATTAGGCTTTTAACGAGGAATGTGAAGGATTCAGTGGATCATTGCCATACCAGCTTCGAGGTGAGCCTTGGTTTATGAAGTACGGGTGTGTAACAAGTTTGCCTTGTTGTATGGTGGGGTTTTCTTGTCTGGTATACGTAAACTCTTGTTCCTTTTTTTTTTAGCTCATGCATCCATCTCCCTCCTCTTATTTGCTTCTTCAGCAGAAGCCATTTGTTGTGAGGTTTCACCAGAGCACCACATGCTGCATACTGCCTCTTTACTTGGCAAGGTCATATTTGCAGCATGTGTTTGTTTCCTTTCCTTCTGGCCCGGTCACCAGGTTCCCCCTTTTTCGCCTGCTCTCAGTCGTGAATTCCAACCCTATAAGCCACATGCCGCCCCATTATTGCATATTTGTGAACAATGGGGTGTACATCCTTCGGAGGTGATTATGGTGGGAGACTCTGCAAAAGACGATGTAAGATGTCAAACTCTACGTAATGTAGCATTCGTGCGATTCTTATCATGTGTGTCCTCGTTATGCTCCTTATCATTGCTCCCTGCTCACCAATTATATCGTTGGGCTTTTGCAGGTGGTATGTGGAAAGAGAGCAGGTGCTATCACATTTTTTCTTGACGAGGATGGCAAGTTCCCCAGCGTTGACGAGATTCCGGAAGAAATCAGACCCCATTTTCGTATCAGAACTTTGAATGAGATGCTGAATCTCCTCATGTCACCAATGTTTGTGCTACACTCTGACTAGTTTTCTAAGCTACTTTATGTATTGCTACAAAACATGTCAACTGTTAGGCCCGACGGCCTAAGTCCGCTAAAGAATTAGCGGGGTCGACTAAGTCGAGGATGAAACGCGGCGGAAGACTTTGGCGAAAGAACTATTGGCGAAATAGGCGAAGAAGTTACTGAGTAATTGAAGAAGAGTTGAATGAGAATTGATTGATAATGGCAAGTACAAGCAAGGTTGATATAGCATGCAAGATCGAATGTCGGAAAGTACTTCGTGGGACTAGGAATTGAAGGCAAGAAAAGTAGAGTGCCACGTGGCACTAGGAAATCAAGGAAGATAAGGATAAGGGTGATTTGGAAAGTACTGTTCGGAATGAACAGTAAATCCCCCCTTAACACTACCCCCCTCCCAAGGAGGCGACGTCCGCGGCGCCTGCAGACTGGAGGTACGCTTGGAGGCAAGCGTTGTCGGGAGACAGCGAGGACGAAGGCAAGCGTTGTCGGGAGACAGCTGCTGCTGCTGGCGGTGCGGCTGGCGCTGCTAGAGGTGCTACTGGTGCTGCTGGAGCTGCTGGAGGTACTGCTGCTGCTGGAGGTGCTGCTGGCGCTGCTGGAGGTACTACTGGTTCTGGTGCTGCTGGAGCTGCTGGAGGTGCTGCTGCTGCTGGCGGTGCGGCTGGCGCTGCTGGAGGTGCTGCTGGTGCTGCTGGCGCTGCTGGAGGTGCTACTGGTGCTGGAGCTACTGGAGCTGCTGGTGGTACTGCTGCTGCTGGCGGTGCTGCTGGCGCTGCTGGAGGTGCTGCTGGTACTGGTGCTGCTGGAGCTGCTGGAGGTGCTGCTGCTGCTGCTGGTGCTGCTGGCACTGCTGGAGGTGCTGCTGGTACTGGAGCTGCTGGGGACCCTGCTGCTGCTGGCGGTGCTGCTGGAGCTGCTGGGACTGGCCCTGCTGAGGGGGTTGGAGCTGGAGGTGCTGAGCGGCCACGGCCGTACTACGTTCCGCTCCTTCAGCAGGTTCTTGGCCTTCCGCCCTCTCCTGGTCCTACTCCTCCCCTACTGAGTCCACCGCTTGTCCAGTCGCAGTCCCAGTTACAGCCAGTCTCTCCACTTCCTGGTCCTTCTCTCTACACTGCGCCGACGGGAGGTCTTACGGAGCGTCGTGAGCCTGAGTCTCGTCCTCCGTCGCCTGAGACTCGTCCAGAGTCGTCTGAGTCGCGTCCAGAGTCGCCTGTCCGCGCTGTCCGCGCTGGTCGTCGTGTTCTACGTCAGCGTCCTCCTCCTGTCCTTGGCACTCACTATATGACCCTGCGTCCCTCTACTGCTCCACAGCGTGTCCCACTGCCGTCTCCACCAGCGTCCTCTCTTCCTGCTCTTGCTGACCCGGAGTCTGACTCTCTTCGTGCTGCCAGTCCTACTGTCACGCGTCTCCTTGCCACTGCTGTCACTGACCCTTCCTTTGAGTCCTCTGCTGCGTCTGCTCTAGTCGCTGAGCTTGTTGACTTTGCTGCTGCCTGTCGTCTAGACTACGCCGCTAGCCTTGTTGCTGAGTCTGAGTCTGAGTCTGTCTGTCCTCCGTCTGTCGGGGGTGAGTGTGCTCTTGGCACGGACGTCCTTGAGGACAGACAGGAGGAGTTTGAGTGCTTTGCCGCTGTTTTGCCTCATCTCGTGTCCATGCTAGTTGCCCCTGAGGGAGACCCGGATGCACCAGACATCCCGACCCCACGCTCCTACGCAGAGGCGATGGAGGGTCCCTACTCCTCTCAGTAGCAGACAGCCATGGACGCAGAGATGGCTTCCTGGAAGTCCACAGGCACCTACGTCGACGAGGTTCCCCCACCTGGGGCGAACATCGTCAGTGGCATGTAGATTTTCAGAGTGAATCGGTCGCCGGGTTCTCCGCCTGTCTTCAAGGCGCGTTACGTTGCACGAGGCTTCAGTCAGCGAGAGGGAGTTGACTTCTTCCAGACCTTCTCCCCGACCCCGAAGATGACCACTCTTCGGGTTCTGCTGCACGTCGCTGCTCAGCGTGACTACGAGCTCCACTCTCTTGACTTCAGCACTGCGTTCTTACAGGGCAGCCTGCACGAGGAGATCTGGCTGCGCCGCCCACCTGGCTTCACTGGGTCGTTCCCTCCTGGTACCCAGTGGAGCCTCCGGCGGCCAGTCTACGGTCTCCGCCAGGCACCCCGTGAGTGGCACGACACACTGAGGACTACTCTTGCTGCTCTTGGGTTTGCTCCTTCTACTGCTGACCCGTCGCTGTTTCTACGCACCGACACCACTCTGCCGCCGTTCTACGTTCTTGTTTACGTAGACGACTTGGTCTTTGCTACTGCTGACACTGAGGCACTCGCCCACGTGAAGTCGGAGCTGCAGAAGAGACACACGTGCACAGACCTGGGTGAGCTGACAAGCTATCTTGGATTGCGGATCACCCGGGACAGAGCACAGCGCACCATCACCTTGACTTAGTCACACATGGTGCAGCAGGTCCTTCAGCGCTTCCGCTTCACGTACTCCTCGCCTCAGCCCACTCCTCTGCCTACCGGTCACTCGCTCTCAGCTCTGCCTTCGGATGAGTCCGTAGAGCCGAGTGGCCCGTATCCAGAGCTTGTGGGCTGCCTCATGTACCTGATGACCTGCACTCGACCTGACCTGGCATACCCTCTTAGCATCCTAGCACGCTATGTCGCTCCCGGCCGTCACCGGAAGGAGCACATGGATGCCGCTAAGAGGGTGTTGCGCTACTTGTGCAGTACGTCGGGCATGGGGCTCGTGCTTGGAGGTCGGAGCGACGTTGTCCTCACGGGTCACTCAGACGCTTCTTGGGCTGACGACCAGGCTACGCAGCGGTCGTCTCAGGGTTACACCTTCAGCCTTGGCTCTGGTTCAGTTTCTTGGCGTTCTACTCGCTCTTCTTCTGTTCTCAGCTCCAGTTGTGAGGCTGAGATCTACGCCACAGCCATGGCTGCACAGGAGTTACGCTGGCTCACCTACCTGCTGACCGACCTGGGAGAGCGGCCTCGTTCTCCTCCAGTGCTGTACGTTGACAACAAGGCCACCATTGCCTTGTGTGAGGAGCACAGACTGGAGCACAGGACGAAGCACATCGCTCTGCGCTACTTCCTTGCTCGAGAGCTGCAGCAGCGTGGTCAGCTTCGTCTGCGTTACGTGGCCACTCGGGCCAACACTGCTGATGTGTTCACCAAGGCGCTTCAGCCTTGTGACCATCAGCGTTTCTGTACTGTTCTAGGCCTTGTGCCTACTCTCCCTCACTTGCTCACTTCTTGACTCTGCTTGTACTGTGATCTATATATATATATACCTACATGTTTACTCTTGTTAGGTTGTGATCACTGTACCTCTTGTTATATTATCAAACTGCATGTGAACTGGTCTTGTGACCACTTGCTTGTGCTCGGAATTTGTGTGGTTTCCTTGAGATCCACCCTGAGCTTGCTTTGCTTTGCTTTGACTGGTCTTGTGACCATCTGGTTGTCTCCCACTTAGCCTATGGGGGTGTGTCAAACATTATACATGTTCATATTGTGTAGGCTATAGTGGGTTTAGCCTTAGGGGGTACAACATTGCTAGGGTTTCCTACTTGTATCACCCTGCTGCCTAGTTTCACACATTCTCGTTCAGTTCTACATTCTAACAGAAGTGGGTGGCCAGCAGTGACTGTGAGACTAGCGAGCTGGCAACTAGGGCGAGTGAGCGGATCTGCTGGGTTGCGAACGCCTGGCTTGTACTCTATCCTGTAGTGGAAACTTCCCTCCATGAACTCCATCCATCTAGCCTGGCGACGACTCAGCTGCGGCTGCGACTTGAGAAAGCGAAGCGAACAGTGGTCCGTGCGTATAACACTATCTGCCCCCTCTAGGTAGCACCTCCACACCTTATACGCATGGATGATCGTGAGCGCTTCCTTGTCGTGAATCGGATAGTTCAGCTCCGCTCCCCTAAGCTTACGCGACTCGTATGCTATCGGCTGCAACCCGCGTCCCTGGTCCTGAAGAAGCATTGCTCCTATGGCCTGATCTGAAGCGTCGGTCACTACAACGTATGGGCGAGTGGGATCAGGGTACGACAGTGTCGGTGAAGACGTGAGCGACTGCTTCATCTGCTCGAACGCCTGCTGCTGCGCTGGACCCCAAACGTACTCTACGCCCTTCCGAAGTAGGTCGGTGAGTGGACTAGCGATCGATGCGTAACCCTGAACGAATCGACGGTAGTAGTTCGCGAAACCGAGGAAGCTCTGCAACTCCTTGACTGAGGTCGGAGCTATCCAGTCCTGTACTGCTGCGATCTTCTTCGGGTCGGTCCTAATGCCGCTAGCGGATACGACGTGACCTAGAAACTCGACCTCGGAGAGGAAGAACTCGCACTTCGACTGCTTAGCATACAGCTGCTCCCTCCGTAAAACCTCGAAGACCTTCTGCAAGTGCTGCACGTGCTCCTCTTTCGTCTTGGAGAATATGAGAATGTCGTCTAGGTAAACTACAACGAACGAACCTAGGAAATCGGAGAGGACGGTGTTCATGAGCGTCTGAAACGTCGCTGGGGCGTTGGTCAATCTGAACGGTAGAACCCTAAACTCGTACAACCCCTGCTTCGTACGAAACGCCGTCTTGTGCTGGTCCTCTGGAACTACGCGAATCTGGTGGTAACCCGAACGAAGGTCGATCTTTGAGAAGACTCTAGCGCCCTGCACCGCATCCAGGAGATCCTCTACTCTCGGCACTGGAAACCTATTCTTGACGGTGGCGGCGTTCAGTGCGCGGTAATCTATGCACATCCGTAACCCTCCGTCTTTCTTGGGTGCGAAAATGATTGGTGTTGCCCAAGGCGATCTAGATGGCTGAATGAAACCCTGCGCGAGAAAGTGCCTAACCTGCTGCGTCATCTCCTCTGTCTCTGCTGGACTCAACCTCCACTGCGGCTTCGCTACTGGCCTGCTCCCCGGCTCTAACTCTATCCGATGCTCGACTGCTCGGCTAGGAGGTAACCCTGGGGGCAACTCGTCGGGGAAGACGTCTCTAAACTCCGCTAAGAGTGCACTCACTTCAGCAGGAAGAGTTGTCTTATCGCCAACTGCTGCGCTCCCTCCTTTCCCCTCCTCAGCTTCCACCTCCTCAAGGAAAACCGCGAAGATCCGCGCCGCAGGCTTCACTAACTGTCGCACACGAACAGCATTAATGATAGCTGCGGCGGATGTGGCCGCATCGCTCCACTGTGGCAGCTCCCGGAACTCGCCATCTACCTTGACGCTGCAGCTTCCCTGAGCCCAATCGAACTGAGTACTGACCGTCCGCAACCAATCTCTACCGAAGATGAAGTTGTAACCGTCCAGCGTTGCAGAATCGAAATCACGCCTAACCGTGATTGGTCCTAGCACTACGCGCAACTTGCGAATGATTGGTCCGTCCCTCGATCGAGCGTCGTTGATCGGTCTGTTGTATCCCCTATCGCGATCGTCACGACCCCGTCGGCTTCGTACTGCGTCGACGAGTTCTGCTGTTGCGACAACTGACTCGAAAGTGGACAACCCATGAATCGCTATAACTTCTGCTATGTCCGGCTTCAACCCCTCGAGGTAGCGATCGCGCATCTCTGCTTCCGTGATATCGTCTGTCTCGTTGCAGATGCTCAAGAACCGTCGTGTGTACTCCTGGACGTTTCCTATCTGTCGGAAATGACGCAGACGCTTCCTAGCAGCTTCTAAGGCGTTCACCAAATCGAACCTACTTTTCAGCGCCGCTTCAAATCCTTCCCATGTGGTCGGAACCGTGGTAACACCCAAGGCTAAACTCCCTAAGCTCGAAGTTGCAGCTGCATGCCCCACGCCCTGTTGATGCCCGTCTGTCTGAGCCCTTCTTACAGCAGTTTGCGTGAGTTGGCGCCACCACTCCAAGGCCGGGCCCCTCAGCAGCGTAACGGCGTACTCGATCCGCTGCTGCGCGTCCGCCTCTTGCACCCCGCTCGCGGCGAAGTAGTTGTTCAGCATGAAGAGCCACGTCCGCACGTTCGCGTCGCGTTGACTTGGGTCGAACGACTCGGGTTTCTGCGGCTCGAGTGCGCTTCGACGTTCCGGCAGCGCTTCCGCGCCAGTCGACGTGTTGGGCGCAAGAGTTGGTGCGGCATGACCATGGGGGTTAGAAGCCAATTCACGAAGCTGTTGCATTTCAGCTCGTACCTGACGATTTTCCAACGTCAACTCTTGAAGTTGGCGCATGAGTTCGGCAAGCGTGTTGCCCATGTCGTGGGGGAGAGCGTGCATGGTTTCGTCCATATTCGCTCAACGACTCCAAGTCTGCAAGTCGGCACCGCGGGACGATGACGTCGTAGTCTCGTCGTCGACGGTCGCTCGTTGGAAGTCGCTCCCCGCGAA